GGCTGGGGGTGTGGAGGCTGGGGTGCGGGGAGGCTGGGGGGTGTGGGGAGGCTGGGGGTGGCAGCTGCGTCCAGCTGCCGTGCCCTGCCCTCCTTCCCATTCGTGCCCACAGGCCCCGGGAGGGGCAGGCGGCTGGGCTGCCGCACCTGTGGTTGTCCACGTAGCGGATCAGCAGCGGGTAGAAGGCGTAGAGGTCTCTGCAGAGGATGGAGAACTCGTCCAGGATGAGCAGCTCGGCCTCCTGCGTGTCCGCCTTGCCGTCGGCTCGCAGCTGCTCCTCCTCCTGCACCGTCTTCACGGCCTTCTTCTTCAGCTTCTCCAGGGTGGGGATGAAGTGGCTGCGGAGCAGGTCCGGCCTGGCTTTGCTGATGATCGGCTGGGCGTACACTGCACGTGCGGACAAAGGCTCTTACCTCACTGGGTGCCGGTGAGCACAGGGCGCTGGCAGGCAGGGCTCGGGTCGGCACCGTCCGGGACCCTCCGGCTCCCAGGGCTCGGGTCGGCACCGTCCGGGACCCTCTGGCTGCCAGGGCTGCGGTGGGGGGCACCGTCCGGGACCCTCCGGCTCCCAGGGCTCAGGTGAGCACCGTCCGGGACCCTCCGGCTCCCAGGGCTGCGGTGGGCACCGTCCGGGACCCTCCGGCTCCCAGGGCTCGGGTCGGCACCGTCCGGGACCCTCTGGCTGCCAGGGCTCGGGTCGGCACCGTCCGGGACCCTCCGGCTGCCAGGGCTCGGGTCGGCACCGTCCGGGACCCTCCGGCTCCCAGGGCTCGGGTCGGCACCGTCCGGGACCCTCCGGCTCCCAGGGCTGCGGTGGGGGGCCACTGTTCCACTCCCGGCCCTCCAACCCCTCCTCCTGCACGCAGGCCCGTGCCAGCGCCCCCTCTTCTGAACAGCCTGTCCAGCGTCACCTTACAGCACGCTCCTGTGTGCTTTGGCCCGCTGGCTAGATCTTAGGTTCCAAAGAAAGTCTTTCACTAAGAAGAACCAGGCCTGTGCTGCTGGAGGGCAGGCCTGGAGCTGGGCTTTCTTCTCTCTACCCAGGCCAGGCATTTGCTGGCCACCCTCGACTGATCGCTTCTCCTCCGCTAGAGGTGCTGACATGTCTGTCCTCAAATGCTGACATGTCTGTCCTACTGCAACCAATAAACATGCCCACTTACTATGTACTAGTGAAAAAGTTGTAAAAATGAATAATGATTATGACATGCTGATGCTACCAGCTGAAGGCTTAGTTCAATTTCTTTAGCATTGATCAGGTGCAAATACTGACATGGTTAAATGCAAATAGGCCTATTAGGGATTGGCAAACACAAAAGATAAAGTCTGTGTTTATATATGTGTGTATACATGCGCATATTTATGCTTTCCAGGTATTTTATAGAAAAATCTGTTAAAAGAACAATAATGCAACTATCACCCTGGCCAACCTAGCCCCTGGAGCTTGCTTCCCTGGGACATAGTGACAACATCAGTGAAAAATGAACACAGAGAGGCCTGGCCACAGGGGACACCAAAAAGGGAAACCAGTATGCTGACAATGGCTTTTGTTGTTGTTGTTGTTGGTCTTGGGGCTTGAACTCTGGGCCTGGGTGCTGTCCCTCAGCTCTTCAGCTCAAGGCGCTCTACCACTTGAGCCACAGCACCACTTCCAGTTTTCTAATGGCTTATTGGAGATAGGAGTCTCACAGACTTTCCTGCCCAGGCTGGCTTTGAACCGTGATCCTCAGATCTCAGCCTCCTGAGTAGCTAGGATTACAGGCGTGAGCCACCAGCACCTGGGTGGTGGTGGCCTTTCTTAAAGAACAGGAAAAAAATGCCTCTTACCTTATCTTTCCCTTTTAATTATATATTGACTGATTACACTTTTACTAGATTAACAGGATAGGATATTTTGATGGTAAAAATCAGATTAATGGTAAGAAAAGGGAAAAATAAAGTGAGTAATGGTGTGAACTATTGATGTACGTTTGAATGGGCATCTTGGCCATTAGCTCAAGACATTTCAATTAGAAACGGCTCTATTCTAGTCACTTTCTTATCTTATTTCTCTTTATTTTTCACTTCCACGCAGAAAGGATAGTTTTAGAAAGAACAGGTTAAGAGGGCTTTTGGAGACATGCACTAGCTGAGACCTGAGGCTTCTCGGCCGCACTGCGGTGCCGCTCAGCTGAGGCCCAAATCGGAATGGCCGTAGCTGACCTGGGGTTTTGGGATTGAGCTGTTCCTCGCTATACGGTGGCTCACTTACTGCGGCTTCACTGTATCTTGGGGTTGAAAAACAATACATAAAGATGATCCCTCACCCATCATGGGGGTTACAGTCCAAAGACCCCACGATAGTGAGAATCCGCAAAGTAGTGTTACGTGCACCCTGAGGTGGTGGGGTGACCAGCCAAGGTGGCTATTGTGTGGATTTCCACCTCCCACAGGGAGGGGTCTCTGGGGTGTAACTCCAGCAGGTGAGGGACCCCTGCACTTTTAAAATGGACTTGGGGGCTGGGAAGGTGGCTCGGTGGTACAGTGCTCGCCGTGCATGCATGAGGCCCTGGGTTCGATTCCTCAGCATCACAGAAGTAGAAAAAGCCAAAAGCGGTGCTGTGGCTCCAGTGGTAGAGCGCTAGCCTTGAGCTGAAGAGCTGAGGGACAGCGCCAGGCCCAGAGTTCAGGCCTCACGACCGACAAAACAAAACTGACTTGGTTACCAGAAGTTCTCTGGCCTGGACTGAGTGCAGTCTGGCCCTGCCTGTGGGAGGAGATGCTCAAGTCTGGCTCCTGTCAGCGCCCCTCAGAGACAACCCCCTCCCCGGGGGAGGAGCAGGGGCTGTGACCCCTCAACACTCTGCAGGATGGCCGACAACACTTTGTTCTGCCACAGGAACCATGGGAGGCCCGCATACAGCTATCCATACAGTGGATGCCATGAACGGTGTCTCGGGTCTCACGGCCCTGTGGCCAGACGTCCTCCACCTCTGCGAGGCTCATGAGGAAGAAGAGAACACACACACGCCGCTCACTCACAGGTCCACGGAAACCTACACTAGCCACCGGTGCCCAAAGCGCTTCCTATGTTGATTTCAGTTCACTTGTGAGACCAGAAGGAGCTAGGCACTTTTCCTCTTCAGTCTACCAGTTTTCCCAGGAAGGACATTTCTCAGTGTTGGGCTGACAGCTGCCTCTAGCCTAGCGATGGCACTTGTGGACAGGAGCAGGTGTGGTCTGCTGTGACCGTGGGCCTGTGACTGCCTTCGCACCGGAATCCCACACGCAGGACGGACAGACAGACAGGGTGCTCAGTATCTGCAGTTTCCTGACTGGGGGAAGGGTATTCACTTCCCAAGCGTGTGCTTTGTTATGTTTTAAAGGTTGAGAAACAGAACACTGGCTGGTGACACTAAGCGCCTACTCCATTCCAGCCGTTGCAGAAGGGCACAAAGACAAACACCGAGCTGGAAGGGTCCCTACTGTGCGCCTACATCAGGCGTCCTAGAAAACATAAAGCGACATGCGAATGCAGAGTGACAGGAAGACCCCGGCGGGAGGGGCTGCAAAGTGGCACGCACGCAAGATTACTTATCCCAAATTAGGGATAATTACTGCGTCTAAGAGCCAGTACGGTGGCGCTCCCAGCATGGAGGGAGTGATGGAGAAGGCTTCCTGGAGACCTGCGGGGCCTGGGTCAGCAGGGCTCACGGGGGCAGGGCTCCATGAAGCTCTTTGGGGGACATGTCAGCCACGCTTACAGTGAGGCGACGGGGAGGCGGGGGGAGAGAGCGACCGCCCGAGACGGAAAGGAAAGCATCCAGCCACCCGGGGAGAAGAGGCCTGCGTACCTGCAATGCGCTTCATCCAGGAAGCCTCGTCGATGCCCAGGTTGTTGTTGATGATTTTCAGGATGTTGCCCAGGATGAGGCTGAGGTGCTCAGACGTGACGGTGGTGCAGCAGGGCCCGGCGCTCGGGGGCAGGCCCTCGGGGCCGTGCGCCCACCAGTAGGACAGGTAGCTGCACAGCATGGGCAGGGTCACCTCGATGACGTGGGGCATCTCTGAGTACCGGGCGCCCGACTCGGCCAGGCTGCCGATCTCCTTCATCAGGCCTTCCAGCGGGGGGACGCCGGGACACATGTCTTCCACCATGTCTGGCAGCCCCAGAACTGACCCAGAGGAGGCAGAAGGGAAGGCACAGTCAGCCAAAGGCACCTGCGGGCGGCCTTTCCTCCCCCTCCCCATGCTTCCTCTGCCTATCCCATACCCCGAGGACACCTTGAAGGGGGGGCAGTTTTGGACCGCTGGCCACGTGCACAGACTACACCAAAGTCAGCGCATTTTCCCAGGTGTCACACTGGTGTGAACACACCTGGGCGTCGATTAAAGCAGCCCAGCACGCCATGAGGGGCACGCAGAAGGCTTCTCTGGGTGCAGCAAGCCTCCTGCCCGGGCCTAGAGCATCTCTTACTGGAGAGACAGGAGGAGGAGAAAAGCGACTAGTGGCGGAGTCATAGTTCGGTGCCCTCAGTCCTATCGGTTTTGCTTAGAGAAGCTAGAAAACCTTCACACAGTCCCTCAGCCGCCTGAGCCACTCTGTGAGTCTGTGTTGGTTATTTTTGAGCTAGGATGTGCTCCATGCCTGGCCAGCCGACCTGCGATTCCTGTTTGTGCCCCCCGGCCTGCGATGGCAGGTTCGCTCCCTCTCCAGGTTGGGGTGACAGACGCCGTGGTGGTTCTACTCGGGACACTGCAGCGATGGTCGCACTTTCTGCTGCTATCTCCGGGCTTTCAGTGTGTGGAAAGCCGAATGCCTCACACGGGGACCAACAGACAACTCCGGAGGAGCGTCAGCAAGGCAGGCGAAGCCTCCCGGCTGTGGTTTACAGGAATTATACGGCCAGACATGGTTTACCGCCAATGCTGGTCGTCTGCAGAGAGCAAGTGCATCATGCCCCCGGTGGCAGAGCAGCCGTGGCCGACAGAATGTGGGGAGAAACTCACACATAAGGAAATTTTACACACGCACCTGCAGAGTCATTAGATAAGGACAGAAGTCGAACGTTCAGCCTTGCAGCCTGGCACAAAGAACCTTCCAGCTGCCTCAGAAGCAGCTGGAGTTTATAATCATTTGCTGTAAGATGATACAGAAAACTGAGGTATGTGTTCGATGTCACACAGACAGCACATCGGTGAAGATCTTTTCCCTGCCTCAGAAGAATGAAGTTTCCTGAGGTCGGTGCCCTGCAGTCATGATAAGACCTTTCAAAGCACCTTAGATGGACAGTAATGGGTTCCTGCCTGGAACAAACATTTGTGATTCAGAAGGTGCTTTGTACTTCCAGTGCGGCTTACGAAGTGCACAGTTACCTGAAAAACAGCTCGGCTGAGTCCCGCCAGCCCAGACAGAGGCCGCTGGGGGAGTCGTGAGAACACACTGTCTTTTCGACTTCTAGAACACTGGTTCTCAAGCAATTGGTCCTCCCAGGCCACTGAGCTACCGACGCCAGCACCAAGCTCAGTGATCTGCATCAAGCCTTCCGGGGGGTTCAGATGCACGTTAGACTGTAAGTGCTACTGAGATCCATCCTGGAGTCCTTGCCGCTGCACCCAGCAGCTCTTCACCCAAGAGAAGCATCAGAAAGAGCCGTCCCGGCAGTGCCGGTGGGGGGTGTGGAAGTGGGGCCCCAGCTCGGTGGCTGGCGTCTCTGTATTAAGGCACAGGAAGCTTTCAGCAACCCAATATTCTGGACACTTCCACACACACAAGCACGGATGTATCCTGCTTGGCATAACTGTCATGAAGTAGTATGAACACGCTCCCAGGCATAGCTTGAGTTTTGGATAAATAAGGAAAGTGCCCAGGTTCCTACAGTGGCGTGAGTAACTGCTGGCAAAGCACCACGTGTGATTGACACAGATGCCCAAGTGACAGGTTACCTGGACAAATCGGGCATGGATCACGGCTCTGCCGGTGGTGGCCCCTCAGGGCCCGCCAGCCACTCCCAGGCAGCCTGCAGACCCCGCACACAGCCCTGAAACGCCTCAGGCCCTCCCTTTACAGTCAGACCCAAGGTGACAAACACCGGCTCCAGGGACCCCAGCCCGGGGCCCGTGTTCCCGTGTCTCGCATGAGAACCCTGAGCCCATCGCTCCCAGCATGCAAGGACTGGCACTTGCTGTTTACTTATCAACATCTTATTAAATCAGCGCAAAGGGATATGAAACAAACTTAAAAAAAAACCAAAAAAACTCAAACCAGCCATGGGTACGAGGGTGACGGAGACCCTGCCCCTTCCCCCAGAGCCGTCCAGGTCTTCCTCCTCGTCTACTGCGCCCCCGTGAACTGAAAAGGTGCAGTTCTATACCGTGGTGACACAGAGACAAGGTGTGTGTGTGTACATGCGTGCACGTGCGTGTGCGCACACACACGCACACACGCACACACACACACACTATACCAGGGTTGAGCTCAGCCCTGTACTCAGCTTGCTTACTCATGGCTGGTGCTCTACCACTTGAACCACCCGTCCAGTCAGGAATTTTGCTGTCTACTTAGAGATGGAGCCTCACGGACTTTTCTGCCTTGCATGGAGATCCTCCTCGGTTGCTATGGTTACAGGTGTGAGCCACGGCACCTGCTTACATTGCTTCTTGGTGGCATATTGCGACACCGTTGGCTCAGAACAAATGCACACATCTCCCTGACTGTCACCCATGGGCTCTGCGTCCCTGTCGAGGGGGGAGCAAGGCTCGGCTGGCGTTTGCCTGCGTCCGTCTCCGCCATTGCTCAGCTGCCCAAAGCCTGCTCTGGGACCTGGCTTCCGCGTTAGCCGTGCCGCACTTGGAGTCAAGAGCCAGCAGAGAAAAACAAGGTCAGAAAATCCAAACTTTTGTTAGTGTTAGAGAAGAAAGTAAGGTGAGCTGAGTGGGTGGAGAGAGCTGAGCGTACAGACTTCTCTGGGGACTCTGGAAAGCCATGATGCTGTGCCAATGTGTCTCTCCTGACCTGCTCTGAGAACATTGGTCTCACCGTGCTCCAGTACAGAAGTGATTTTATTATCAGCCTCATCTAAACTGTGCCTGTGGTGACTTCTGGGGGCAGCGTGTTCTTCTGATGTGAAGTAGGAGCAAGGCTTCCCTCCCCCTTCCTTAGATAAAAAGTGCCGTAGTGACAAAGAAACTGCCCGGCAGCCCTTGGTCACAATCTTCTCCCCCAGGGGCTCATGGCAGCTTTGGAACGCAGACCTGAGAACAAGGCGTTGCTAAAGCCCCGCGAGCTACTATCTGGTAGGGTGGCAGAGCACTAACCTTGAGAAAATAGCTCAAGGACAGTGCCCAGACCCCGAGTGCAGGCCCCACAACGAACAAAAAAGAAAGAAAGAAGAACATCCCTTTCTTGAATGGTTTCTCTGAGCTTTAGTGCTTTCTGTTGTGTCTCCTTCAGGAGGAAGGGGGCTGTGTGGGCAGCACTCTGACAGTCTCTACTTGCAGACAGCCGTCAGGCCGTCCGTGTGGCCGTGCCCCTTCTGATGCCAACACTGCAGCAACAGCTGCGTCACAGCATCTCCCGGAGCAGAAGAGATCCGCGGACCCCAACCAGACCGGAGACATGAGGCCTTAGGAGGGAAGGGAGTTAGGAGCCAGCGATACCAACTCCTCGTTTCATAGACGCGGAATCCAAGCCTAGTGCCAGCCAGGTCTTGTGCTCGCGCATCTCTGTTGTGAGATGGTGGGATATCGGTCCAGTCTCTGACTGACTGAGCTGCAGCGCTCAGGAGTGGAACCACCCTGCTCCAGGACCGCTGCTCCCCCCCACGCCGCCTCCCAGGCCTGCTCCAGGACCGTGTTCCCCCCCACGCCGCCTCCCTGGCCTGCTCCAGGACCGTGCTCCCCCCCACGCCGCCTCCCTGGCCTGCTCCAGGACCGTGCTCCCCCCCACGCCGCCTCCCTGGCCTGCTCCAGGACCGTGTTCCCACCCACGCCGCCTCCCAGGCCTGCTCCAGGACCGTGTTCCCCCCCACGCCGCCTCCCTGGCCTGCTCCAGGACTGTGTTCCCCCCCACGCCGCCTCCCAGGCCTGCTCCAGGACTGCTGCTCCCCCCCACGCCGCCTCCCTGGCCTGCTCCAGGACTGTGTTCCCCCCCACGCCGCCTCCCTGGCCTGCTCCAGGACCGTGCTCCCCCCCACGCCGCCTCCCAGGCCTGCTCCAGGACTGCTGCTCCCCCCCACGCCGCCTCCCTGGCCTGCTCCAGGACCGTGCTCCCCCCCACGCCGCCTCCCTGGCCTGCTCCAGGACCGTGCTCCCCCCCACGCCGCCTCCCAGGCCTGCTCCAGGACCGTGCTCCCCCCCACGCCGCCTCCCTGACCTGCTCCAGGACTGTGTTCCCCCCCACGCCGACTCCCAGGCCTGCTCCAGACTGCTGCTCCCCCCCACGCCGCCTCCTAGGCCTGCTCCAGGACCGTGCTCCCCCCCACGCCGCCTCCCTGGCCTGCTCCAGGACCGTGCTCCCCCCCACGCCGCCTCCCAGGCCTGCTCCAGGACCGTGCTCCCCCCCACGCCGCCTCCCAGCCCGAGGGCCCCTCAGCCCATCGGCAGGCTGGTGGGCTCCGTGGGAAGACACTTACTAGACCTCTCCCTGGGAGTTTTGGTGTTGAAGACCGAGAGGGGATTGTAGCGATTCAGGGTGGGCTCCAGGAAGGCCACAGGCACTGCGGCTGCCAGGGAAGCCAGACATTCTCCAAGGGCAGGACGTTGCCTGGAAACAAAGAAGTCCGTTTAGAAGGGCGCCCGCACTGCCTGGCCCTGCGGCCTCATGCCCTGGCTGGCCAGGCCCTTTCCAGGGACGTGGTCCCTATGTCAAGCATTTCCTGGAGATGTATTCCCGGGGCCCTGATGCTCTGGGAGGCTGCGTGGACATGTCTCCTCTGCCTAGCTCTTCCCGGCTCGGGTGGTGTGACACACCGTGGGCTATGTCCTTCCCCAGCCACCTCAGAGAACATGTTCTGCTGGTACCCAGTGCACTCTGACCCTCCTTGATCTGAGAACGCTCTGGCACTGTCTGTGCAATTTCTGTGAGTCCGTCCTCTACTGCTGCTGGAGACTGGACCACTAGTGGGAGCAGCTGGTCCAAGTGTTAACAAGGTACGGAATAAAAGACTGGCCTTAACGCAGAAAAGAAAAACGGTGTGAAAGGGTATTTGTAGATTTCAAGAGGAAAGTTCTAATACATAGCACCCCTCTCCTTTCCCTTTAAAAAGATCAGTTTTTCTACCTTGAAGAACCCCTGATTCTAAGTCTCTTTGTAAAACAAGCAAACACCATAAAACCAGGGTTCCTATTCCAAGCGGGCTGGGCTCAGGGCCTCGTCTTCCCAGTGGGTGCTCTGCCACACAGCCATGCTTTGGACCCTTTACTTCCCAGTCTCACCTCCTCAGCCAGGCATGAGTCTGGGCCCATCCACCCGCACGAGGCTTCCCAAGAGCGAGGGTGACGGTGCTCACCAGTGTGAAAGGGTCTCATGGATGGTTCCTGCCCAGGTTGGCATCAGAGATCCCAACCTTCTCAGCCTCTCGAGCAGTGAGAGTTGTAAGTGCGATTCACCAGGACTGCCACCTGCTGTTTCCTCTTCTAGCTATGCTCAAGATGGTGGGCAGGCCTCGAGCCAGGGCTTCATGGGCCCCCTGGGCAAGCACGGCCCGAGACCTCAGTGACGGGAAGACACAGAAGCCCTTCCACGTCAGACCTGGGTGTGCACGGGGGCTGCTTCTGTTAAGTCTCATTGTGGGTGCCAAGAGAAGCACCATGCTGTACTCTTCTCTTTTTATTGGAGGTAATGGGGGTACGATTTCAAGTCTGACAGCACATTTTAGTTGGCACAGGAGGTATGTCTAGGACACTCTCCTGAATTGCTTTGGTGAAAAATTAATCCATCTCCTCCTTTCTCTTTTACCAAAATTAAAGTCACGATCTCATAAAAGTGTGTCTGTGAAGTTATTCAGAAGACAGCTAAGAAGTCCCGTTTCTCCTGGGCTGCACGCTCAGGGACTGACCCTGTCCGCCCTGATATTAATTACTGCAGAGTCTGAGCCTCACCAGTTCACCCACAGGACATTTTCTAGTCTGGAGTACACAATCATGCTAATTAGCTGTTCAGCCAAGAAAGATAAACAACACATCTCCAGGCCTAATGCTAAAATAGTCTGTAAAAGTAATGCTTCAGGATGCTGAATGACCTCAGCCCCAGGCCTAAGCAAAGACTGAACTGGCAAAGCTGCTAAGATGCTACGTCTCCAGTGACTAGCACCATCTGGGGCACGGCAAGCCGGGCCAAACCTCCAGGCAGGGATGGGCCGGAAGACCACTCCACAGCAACCCCAACCCAGACTGACGTGAAGTTCGTCAGTGGATATGAAAACGATTTGCTTTTATTTAGTTGTTACCACTTAGCACTTTGTTATACATAATAGATAGTTGGTGACAGATTGAAAGGGGTTTAATTTCTATTCTCAGTATCTTTTACTTCCTAATTTATTAATCTCTCAAATTAATCCCATGGATCTCAATGGAAATTGATTGTTCAAATGTTTGCTGTCAGGAACAAGCAATCTCAGTGAAAATATTAATGTCTCACACATCTATGGTGTTTTGTAATTTTGAAAATTCTATCATGTGTATTCAAAAGATGCTAAAGAAGGTAACATGTAGCAGAGGAGAATACACAGTCCTAGCAAGAAGTACCCTTAGAGGGGTGCATGCATAGTGCTTGATCAGAAACCATTGATCAAAAGGAGCCAGGCAGAAAATAGAGTGAATACATATATTGCAGCACGAAGGAGAAAACACAGTATTCATGAAAAATAAAAACTGAGATTAGATGTTTTAAGTAATCAAGTTCTAAGTTATTTTTCGGAACAAAATCCTATCAAGGGGCTAGGAAGGTGGCTCAGTGGTAGAGTGCATGCCTTGCATGCGTGAGGCCCTGGGTTTGATTCCTCAGCACCACACACAGAAAAAGCCAGAAGTGGCACTGTGGCTCAAGTGGTAGAGCGCTCGCCTTGAGCTGAAGAGCTGAGGGACAGCACCCAGGCCCAGAGTTCAAGCCCACGACTGGCAAAAAAAAAAAAAAAAAAATCCTATCAAGTCTCAACATTTCTCAAAGATTCTTCATGTTAAATTATGCAAGTCTTCTGCATGATTAAATGCCCAAAAGCCTTTACCCTTCTCAGAAATTCTATCTGAAAACCTCACTAGTCATTACCATCATTTGCATGATTGCCTCAATTACAAAAACATTTCAAAAGAAATGCGGGTTTCAGCGACTCCTCCTCCTCTTCAGACTCCATCCGTCACCAGGCGACTGGCAGCATTTCTAACTAAACACACACTCAAGCTCTAGTTGGACCACACATCTACTGAAGCTCCTGTAATCCAATAGATAGTAAAGGAAAATCCAGTGAACAGTGGCAGGGCAAGGATGGGCTTATTACTTGTAACTTCTCTTCCTGAACAACACATTAGAAACAAGACAGAACGAGACCCTGACATAGCTTGGGTCTAACATGCCCTCCGGGGGCTTCCAGGGGCCCAGGCCCAGGCTCTGGGGACATGGTGACGTCTTGTATTTTATGAACATGAACCTACCAAAAAGGACATAATTAAATGAAAATTTCAGCCAGGTGCTAATGGCTCATGCCTATCATCCTAGTGCTTGAGATGCCAAGAATGGGAAGCTAATGGTTCGCGGCTAACTAGGGCAGAAAAGCTGACAAACCTCCTTCTTCAGCCATAGCGGGGCTCAGTGGTGTGCACCTGTAAATTCTGAGCTACAAGGAAGGCTGAGAACAAAAGACTGGCTCATGGTTCTAGGCCAGCCAGGGCAGAAAAGTGGTAAGACTCACTCTACAGAAGGAGGCTGGGTACGGTGGCACCGACTGTTACACCAGTGACTTCACCGTTTCTAAAAGCTGGTAAATCGAGGCTCAGCAATTCTCCCTGGTGGGAGGCAGCACCGTATTCTACAAATAACCAATGAAAACAGGGCTGGAGGGCTGAAGGTGTGGTTCAGGCAGAACACAGCCTGCAAAGTCAGGCCCAACCCCAGTGCTGCAAACATAAGCCAGCCAGCAAATCCCAGAGCGCTGCCGCCTGGAGGGGCGGTGCTGGGGGCGGAGGATCAACTGAGCTCCCTCCCTCCTCCCCTGCTTCTCCTTCTGCAGCGCTGAGCATTACCAGCTCATCACTCCAATCAATGAGTTCTTTAGTTCTAAAAGGAGATCAAGTCTCTTTCTGCTTTATGGAGACACTGCAATTTGAATTGATGTACGCTTTATCACGAAATAAAGGTTTATTGTTAGGTGGTCTGATAAAAGCACCATCAACAGAGCAGACCCCCAAAGTAGTTTAGATTAAGTAAAGCATAGATTGAATTCTTTTATCTTTTCATGTGTGAAAGGGGGGGGGAAAAGAAAGATAAAGTCTTTTAAGGATAAAACTCAGGCCAGAGTTTTATCCTTCCAATCTCAGCCCTGGATTCAGACAGAACACCACAGCACCTGGCATTTGATGCTGAAGAGCCAGGGAGAGCCAGGCCTCTCCTGTGCGGGAAGATTAGGAGGACACAGCCGTAAACCGAACACTTCTGCAATGACGCGAGACTAGTGAACAGCGTTTCTGCTTCTGAAGTGTGCACTTGCTCAAAGCTGGCTAACCTGACAGCGGGGCGCGGGCAGGACCCACGGTCCCAAAGCGTGGGCCACGCGACCGTCTGCAGCGCCTTCCCACGGGAGGCTGGGCCTGGGAGACCAGACGCGTCTTCACAGGCTTCCGTCTGGCCACGCGCACACCAGGCATCTCAGCACCTGACCACGCTTCCTGCCACTATCAGATACGCCTCCCCAAGGCTCAACACCCATCCTTCCACACCACTGAACACTCTGGTTTTGCTGCGGGAAAAGATGCTATTAAATGTTTAAAAAATCCCGGGTAACATCCCCCCTGCCCCCCCAACGTGTTCGTCTCTCTCGTTTGCCAATTACCTTTCAACGTAGATGTTCCTTCCGGTGCCGAGGGAATAGAGGCTACACAGTATGCGGTAGCATGAAATCTGCACGTCGCTCACTGAAACAGAGCAGAGACGTCCTCATCACACGGATCCCAGCCCAGATGCACACAGGACGGTCCACGAAGGGAAAGGCGGGGTAGGCATCAGCACGGGAAGCGTGCTCTCCTTCTAAGCGAAGGGAGCCTTTGCAGCCATGCCAGCTTGCTGGGGGCGCCGGGGGGCACCTCCTTCCTGGGCTTGGGATGCCCCATCCCAAGGGCTGCGCCCCGCACAGCCCTTCCTGGGAAAGGAGCTGCTTGGCCCACCAAGCCTTCAAATGGTCATGGGCTCCCTCCAACACAGAGAGGCATTAGGGCCAAACTTTATCAAGTGTCATTCTTCTTCCTTTAGAAAAAGGAATTCAGAAGCCATTTTGATAAAGCCTTTTGCTCATTTTCTAAGAAGAGATGCATAGGCGCCTTGCCTTCTTCAGAGATAAAACAAAGGCCCTCAAGTCTGCCCACCCCAAATTCACTGCTGTGTCTTTCCAAAGGAGGTTCAAGTGCAGCTGGGCAGACCACTGCTTCCTAAGGGAAGGAACGCACCGGGTTAAACAGACAGGCCGCAAGCCCCGGTTCTGTCCAGGACTCGTACTCAGTCTAGGATGACCTTAATACAAGCAAAACTCAATGTTTTATTTTCAATCAAGGAACTGCCTTGTTTCCATGAACTCCTACCCACGTGAATGACTAATTTTCATCCATTCAGGGTTGTGGGAGATACAGCCTGAGTCACTGGCAAGTTCAGCCGAATTTAATCACATACCAACACTTAACAGGTAGAACTGAAGCTGGTGATGCGTTACCTGCGTGGTTTCAAATGAAACCGACCAGCTTGGTCTTCTAAAGCTTGGAAAATGAAGTGTGCATAGCTCTCCTTTGCTTCTGATACCAATGAATAAATTAAGGCTTCTTAACAGGACCAATGGAAAGCCCCAGGAGCAAAATACTCTGCATTTTGGCCAACATCTCAGGCTGTATTACAAAGATAACCTTTCAAATTAAATAGAAGCCTAACAGCTGAGGGCTAGGCTAGCAGACAGGAAATTGGGGTGTAAGCAAATATTATGCGCTCAAATGAAGGAATTCTTCCCCTGCAGAGGTTTATTACCTCATTTTTCTTAAATCTAAGAAGAAAAAAATGTATGGAATCGTCATTTCTCCACTCTGCCCTCACGTTCAACGCACGAGCACGGCTCTCGCCAGACGTCTATGGCTTTGAGCAGAGCAATTCCTGACCAAGAGCAGGAGACTCACAGAGCAGATCCACCCCGAACTGGTGCTGGGCCACGTGCTCAAAGATGGACGTCAGGATGGGTAGCAGGGCCACCGTGGTGTAGTTAATGTTCTGAGAGACGCCTTTGATCTGGGTTCTGGAGTGGGTGAACTTCCCCAGCTTCAGGTTTTCCGAAGTCCTCTCTAAGTCCTCGGCGGCATTCTCAAAGAAGGCCCGCAAGCCAGCCTTCACGGGCTCTGAGCCAGACTTCACCACAGTCCTACGAGCAAACACAAGATGTTCAGAGCCAGAGGCAGGCTCTGCATGTTGGCCAGCAACCTTCTTGAAAGTGGTGACTTGCGGTGCACCTGGGTGGACGTTTGATGTCTCACCCCTGGAGATGCAGTGTGCAGAGAAGGGGGAAACCTGGACCACACATCCCCCAGGGCGGGAACGTTCAAAGCCACTGGGGCTGGGGGAGTCCTCGCTTAGCTCCACAGGACCTGTAAACGGCGATCTAGAACAAGATGGACACTGGTCCCATGGCCTGGAGAATGGGCAGCGGCTGCGGCCTTTTGTAAACACCTAGCTGCGGGGACAGAGAGGTGAGCTTCCCACAGCTCTCTGTGGGCTCAGACCCTCCGCAAGGGCCCTGGCTGGTCTCCTGTGAGGCCCGGCCGCGTGGAGGACAAGGAAGGAAGTACAGTGGGTCTGTCAGTTTGCAAGGAACTCTTCGGTTGGAGGAAGAGGGGAGGAAGGGCCAGCTGGTCCTTTTTAAGCAGTGTCATAAAACTTTATTAGACCACTTGGGGAGGGAGGAAAATCAACTGTGTCTCATGGGGAGGGAGTTGAGCTACGAGTATCTGAGTCCTTCATTATATTCTTACAGCACTTAGAATTGGAACAAAACCTACACGGCACTTGTAGCTTCCCTTCTTCCTTTCTCTCTCTTTTTCTTTCTTTCTTCCTTTCCCTCCCTCCATCCCTCCCTTCCTTCCTTTCTTTCTCTCTTTCTTTTTTTGGTCAGTTGTGGGGCTTGAACTCTGGGCCTGGGTGCTGTCCCTCAGCTCTTCAGCTCAAGGTGAGCGCCCAACCACAGAAGTGGCCACAGCGCCACTTCCGGTTTTCTGGTGGTTAATTGGAGGTAAGAGTCTCACGGCCTTTCTTGCCCGGGCTGGCTTTGAACTGCAATTCTCAGATCTCAGCCTCCTGAGTAGCTAGGATGACAGGCGTGAGCCACCGGCACCCAGCTAACTCCCTATATTTCTACATTAGATGACAGACTTAACTACAAAGAGTCCGTGGGTCTTGCTGCCTGTGGGTAAATATTCACAGACTATGTTTCCTTGAGGATGATTTCTGGACATGGTTTTCTTGGAAAAGAAAAGCGAACCCTCGAAGCTTTTCTGCATGGTGTATTCTAGGCGAGGACTCTGCCCACAAGCTACATGCCAGTCTCCTGTGTTTTGGTGTTGACAGAGGGTCTTGCTAACTCTTCAGGGTTGGCCTTGAACCCGCCCTCTGACGGTCTCTGGGATGGCAGGCTTGTGCCATCATGCCTAGCTTCTTGGTGTAAAGATTCTTCCTCTGAACCGTAAGGGGCTGTGGGTCTGGAGTGACTGACCCCTTCCGCACATGTCCATAGTGTTGTTGTTTCTCTCAAAAACAAAAACAAGGTCATAAAACCCCTAACATCTCTTTTAGAGTCTCACTCCTTTTTTACCACCCCCTTTTTTAAATAGCTATCCGTTTGTTGGAGGTTTTCATCTGAGGCTGTGTCCTCAGGGGGGAGGCTCCTCTGCAGTGGCTTCGAGGAGCTTTGCTCTCTCCTGGTTTTGACAAAGGACTCTTTAGTGAACGTGTGAAAGAAAGCTCCCTTGCCACTTCTTTTCACAACTTGTTTTTAAAAATCACTTACTTCAATGCAGCTAGAATTTACGTATTTTGGGTAAGACTTCCTTCCCCTGCCTATAGCCAACCTTCTCTCCCCCCCTCCCCTGCCCTTCTCTCTCTCCCCTCCTTTCCTCCCCCCCTCCTCTCCCTACTCTCCCCTCCCCTCCTTTCTTTCTTTCTTTCTGACTTTGCACTCCATTCTCCCAGTGTTGGGATTACCGGAATGACTCAGGAAGTGTGACTAGCTTTTTCTGACCTTTTATCTTTTGTTAGCATAGATTAGTTGCACAAAGTAGTTTAACTGTGATGCTTCCATTCATGCATACGATGGACCCTGATCAAATTCACACCCTCCCGTCCTGTCTCAATCCTCCCGTCCTGTCTCGATCTTCCCGGTCAGAGCTCTCTGCGACTCCTGGCTGGCGCAGTGAATCCAGAGCGATGCCCTTCCCCTGTCTCAGATTCCCTGTGGCTGCACTGTTCATCAAAGCTCCTCTGTGTGTGTGTAGAGAATTGGGTATGGTGTGGCATGTTGCCACATTATACGTATTTTCTTCAGAGAGACAAATTTCCCAGTAAGAGAAGATGAAGACTGAGCTAAGGCTCAGCCCTCAGCATCCAGAAAGCGGCATGGCCGGGCTGCTGCAAGGTAGAACAGGGAGGAACAGAGTGCCAGCTTCCAGGGTCAGGTTCATCCTTCTGTGAGGATCAGAGAGGGCGTCCTGAGGGCCTACTACAAACCCGCAGACTTACCTTGTGTCAAGTGTCTGCGCTAAGATGTGGAGACAGCTGACCATTGTAGAAGCGTCGCTTCCTGGAATGAGAAGCACCGTCTGTGACCCGCAGCCCCTGGGCCTGTGCTAGTGCACACCACAGCCACTGGGCCTGTGCTAGTGCACACCACAGCCAGAGCAGCTAACGCCCACATGCACACACACAGCCAGAGCAGCTAACGCCCACATGCACACACACAGCCAGAGCAGCTAACGCACACATGCACACACACAGCCAGAGCAGCTAACCCCCACATGCACACACACAGCCAGAGCAGCTAACCCCCACATGCACACACACAGCCAGAGCAGCTAACGCCCACATGCACACACACAGCCAGAGCAGCTAACGCCCACATGCACACACACAGCCAGAGCAGCTAACGCCCACATGCACACACACAGTCAGAGCAGCTAACGCCCATATGCACACACACAGCCAGAGCAGCTAACGCCCACATGCACACACACAGCCAGAGCAGCTAACCCCCACATGCACACACACAGCCAGAGCAGCTAACACCCACATGCACAGTGCCAGGCTCTGGTGAGGGACCGGTGTGGCCTTATTCTGATTCAGCCATGGCTTCATGGAGGCGTTACAGGCACTTAGTATCTGTGGGGGAAACTGAGTGGGAAATACATGGACAGTGTTCATCCTGACCCAAGCTGCCTATGGTAAATTAGGGAACACTTTAATCCAGGACTCGGGCGGTCTGAGAGAACCACAGGTAAAGCGAGTTCAGGACAGTGACAGGAAGGAAAGCAGCCTTCAGCAGCATTCACTTACCAAAGAGGGAAATCCTGTGTCTAACAAGAGCAGCAAGTTTGCAGAAGAGGCTGAGGCAGAAAGCAACAATTCAGAAGGTTACAGAGACTCGAGGACTCGCTGCACCCCCCCCCCCAAATGCAGCAAAACGAACAAAGAGGTGGCCGGCTAGGAAGGCGTACGGGTTCCCCTCCCTGAGACACTCAGACCACGCTCAGGAGAACGTGTGTACCACAGCCATGGTGCAGCGCGGAGGAGCTTCCGGGCAGTCGGCAGCATTGGTCACAGGATGGCCCAGCGCCCCCCACCGCAGCGCCCCTCACC